GAGAGAGAGAGAGAGAGAGAGAGAGAGAGAGAGAGAGAGAGAGAGAGAGAGAGAGAGAGAGAGAGAGAGAGAGAGAGGCTGGTGGTTACCCACCTCATCCTCCGGCCTCCTCGACTTCATGCATGCCACCCCACGCTGCCTCATGTCTGCCGCCCACACCCGCTGCCACCTGCCACCATTTCATGCTCCAGTGGCCGCTCCTCAGCTGCTCATCATTTTGCAAAGACGTGTCACTATGGCCATGCAGCAAACACAGAACGGCGGCGGCGGGTACAAGCACGATAGCCGAACGATGGCTAAGCAGTGACACACAGTCCGGCAGCGGTACGGGCGGCCAATTTCCAAGGGGGAACTCCCTGAGGCCCGATTTCGAAATGGCCAATTTCGAAGCCGGGAGGGAATTTCCCGAACTGGTTTCCTCGACGTTCGCGGCAAGGATGAAAATTGCACCTCAGGAAAAAAGCCCCGCCTGTCTTCATCTTTCTTGGGAAGAAGGGAAGGCCCCCAGAAGAGGACGAGGAGGGGGGGGGGCGGGGGTAAATATAACGGTTACCCGGTAGGATTGCCTACCCGCCCATAACCATCTGTTTTTTTTTTTCACCACCCTATAATGGCCGTACCCATGCTTTTTTTTTTTTAGCCGCCCATACCTGCGGTTTTTCCCTCTTCACCGCCACTACCTGCCCATGCCTGCCCGTGATCTCCACACAGTGCAACCATGCCTGCCCTGAAAATCACAAATAAAATGTATGCCTCCCGATGCCCCCCTCCGTAAGAGTACCCGTACCTGTCCATAACCTGCCAGTTACAGTTGGGTACGGTCGGGTACGGGCAACGGTTACCCAGTTGCCACCTCTGACACCTACCACTTTAGAATTCGCAAGTAGTGATACAAGGACCTAAGTGTAGCCCTAGAGAGTGCAAAGTACACCTCCATGTGCTCACTGGATGATCACAGTGACTACTTGGACAAGCTCAACATTGTACCGTGCATCCGAACTTCCCACACTATCTCCAATAAAACTTACCCTCATAGGACCTGGATCGTCCACCTGTGGTTATAGTTGTACTACGCAGCTACAAGAATGAACCTGCCTGGCACAGGCTGAAGAGGCTCCTCCTCACTCTTGTAATTCAGTGCATCTCAGACAATCTCAGACGATTCTGTGAAAGGGACGCTGGACCCGTTTTCCAGACGGTGCTGCTCCACACCAGTAGATCGAGCCTGCCCGAGGGTGCTTGAGGTGGCTGCTCTTATCAGCACTTTCGACACCCACACGGGTAGCTAACAAAAATAAAATTAAAAATGGTTGGTTGTCAAAGTGCCTAACATTGCACTAACTGTGGCGGTGTGGCAGGGCTGAACTAAATTGCTTGCCAAGGGACCCGCAGGAAGCAGTGTTGGTATCAGCATCATCACTCACCATCAGCTGCAGGAGTAACTGGGCAGTCTGAACGCCATGCGCAATGCATTTGCTGCAAAGAATTTGCCAGTGTCTTGGGCTTCACAGAGTCAAAACCAACCTCCTTGTTATCGGCTTACCGAACAGCGGGAAATCAACAATTGTGAAGAGACTGAAGGGCAACAAGGTGGGAGAACGGGCCACCTCTCTATGAAACACTTCTATTTTCTGCTTTGCAATCCTCGCTATCCCATGCATCGCCATATGCATCTACTCGCAGTTCCATTTTCTGTTTCCCCCCATTCCCAATGCTTCCCCTCTTCCTCCGAAGTATGTTGTCCAGTTCTTTTCCTCTCTCCATCCTCGCCTGCCTTTCTACTGGTAGGCTCTCTTGCGTTCATGAACACATTGGCAAGCTCTGTTTTCTGCCACAGTCTGAACACTCATGTATAAGTTCTCTCTCTCTCTCTCTCTCTCTCTCTCTCTCTCTCTCTCTCTCTCTCTCTCTCTCTCTCTCTCTCTCTCTCTCTCTGGAAAATTGGTTAAATCGAACCATGAGAAAGAACTCTATGCATTGCCAGAAACTCTACTGACCTATAAAGACATTTGCAGAGCAAACACTTCAAGGTGTATTTCAGATCATAAGACCTTACACTTGCTAAAAACACAACAAAGATTGTCGGATAAGCAGTTAGGTGATCTTGAATAATAGACACCTAAGATTTCGAGTTGAAGCCTATCTAGGATAAGTACAGTATCGTAGTGCATGCGCTCTCGTTTACAACTGATTTCTTCAGAGCGATCATAACTTAACTTGGTTTTCAACGAAATGCTGGAGTAAACCTGACATGCTTACGAATAGTC